CAAATAATGAAATTATATTTCATTAAAGTTTTGATTAATGTAGAAATGAAAATGTGCTTATATTTTTAATAAATTTATAAAATGCTGATATATCTGTTACATATTTATGACAGGGTATATATGGAGAAATTGTATTCATATCCAAAGCATTACAAATATTTTAACATCTTGATTTTAATATAGATATATATATACATATGTATATGTACATATAACAGACGTCTTACAGAAAGAGAAAGAGTTAGATAGAAAGAGAGAGATTGAGAGAATACGAGATTCTCGATCAGTTTTTAGTAGAAACTTAATCGTTGCCTTAACCTCGTCTAATGTCCAATATAGAGTATTAGGCAGTCTGGTAAAGTATGAATCTAGTTTTTCTAGGCAGAGCTTTTCAGCTGCCAGCAAATCCTTTGAGCCTCTGGCAAAATATAATTTACACCGCTTTTTCTCCATTCTCTGTACTTACAGCAACAAAGCCAATTCACCTGCAACCGCACCTGTAACCACAACAACAACGCCCACATAATGACCCTAACTGCAACCAGGAATCAGGCTCCATCTGCTTCTCTATCTTCATCTTCATCTCCATCTCCATCTGCGACTGTGATGCCTTCTCCGAAGCTGCAATCGTCGCCGTCTCTGTCGCTGTCGCTGCCGATGCCTCTGCTGCTGTCGCTGATGCTGCTGCTGCTCCTGTTGGTGCCGCCGCAGCCTTGCGAGAGCCGATACCTGCCGACAAGGTCGCATGGGGACGAATTGGATAAGTTGCGTGAGCTGATGCTTCAGGTAGGTAACCACCGACTCCCAGCCACTCCCCCCCTTCAGCCCCCAGCAACCGGGCACTCTGCACCCTTTTGCAAGTGAATAGCCTGTTGAAAGACCATTGTTAATGCGCATTAGTGTGAGGGAGATTGGGAGAGAGTGTGCGCTGCGTGTGTGTGTATGTGAGTGAATTAAACTCATATGCATACTCTATATTTTGGAAATGGTGATTATACGACATTATTATGACTCTGAGCAAGCAAAGCCTGTTTATCTCATTATACTGTAGATATAAGTTGTACAAATTAGTTACGATTCGAGGATGAAGTATATATGACGTAGTTGTGGATAAAAAATAAAAAATGTTTTTATTTTTTATTTTAAAATTTTTTTACTTTCTTAATGCCAACGAAGATTAAATTAATGGCGAACATGATATCCCATGGCATAGCCGTCAGTGAAGTAATACGTATCTGGCTTACAAATATATTTCGTATTTTAGAGAGAAAATTAGAAACTCAGTTTATTTTATTTTTTAAAATTAATTTATTAATTCATTTTATTTTTATTTGATAGTAACAATTTTGAATTATGAGTCTGGATGCAATGAAAATATTAGCATGTGTCACAGATATAAAATTCATATTAGATGTATATTTATGAGATATTTTATATATAAGGATTAAATTAATAGAAAAATATTTGACATATTTAATATTATTTTATAATGCTTTTCATAATTATTTATATAAAATATCTACTTTTTTATTTTTTATTTAGATGTCAATCCGATGTATATATGTATATAGTGTCATAGTATAATAGTTAGGGCATTTCAACTTCGACTTATCAAATTGTTCTTTCGCATTTTGTTGTTTTTCATTTACTTTTCTTGCTCTTCTTTTTGGTATGTTATTTGTATGTTGTTGTTGTTATTGTCGGTTGGTTRTTTTTGTCGATATAATTAACTAAATGAAAAGAGTCAAAAGCGTGGTATTAAGTTGCAATTATGTCGCCAATTATTGGGGTTTTATTTTTCAACGTGTTTTTGTTGTTGTTGTTATTGCTTTTGTTTTGGTTTCGATGGATCGGTCAGAGCTGTTGCGGGTTACCCATTTTTCGGTTGCGTCATGCGCCCAATCAATGACTCCAGATAGGGTTACCCGAAAGAAAGAAAAACAAAAAAATGCAGAGCTCCTGAGCAGCTCAGGTATTTTATACTGCTGTTGTTATTGTTGTTGTTGGACTCGTTATTGTTGTTATTGTTTTAGCTGCGTCTGCAAAAGCGTTTCACAAATATTTTACATCTTTCGCAAGCAGTTGTTGTTGTTGGTCATCTTTACGTTGCAAGCTCAGCACAGCAGCTACAACAACAACAACAACAACAACAACAACAACAAGTGCTGCTGCTGCTAACTGACTGAGCCTGCCCGGCTACAATCCCCAACCTGCTGAGCTACAAGCTCTCATCTTTGCCAACCTGACCAAACATTTATATTTAAAAAAAACCTAAATTCCTCTGTTTCGGCTTCTTCTTCTCCTTCTGTGTTATTATTATTATTATTATTTTTTTTGTTGCTTGCCAAGTTTCCTGTTCTTTTTCGCAACAGCCGCAGCACAAAAATGCTGCTCAACCAGGAGGGGGGGCCAATTTTTAATGGATGCTTCACATCATTTTTGCCACTCGATTTTCAGACGCAGCTGCAACTGTGCCCCAGCAACTGCGACTGCAACTGCAACAGAAACTGCAACTGTGCAACGGCAACTATTTAGTTGACTTCTCAGTGTTTATGTATAGCATCTTGGCAACTTCAGCTGAAAGCCTTGAAGCCGCACTGTCTATGCTTTTGATGAGCTCCGTCTATGTGCTTGTCCTTGAGACTAGCTCTGAATGGGTCTTTAGGTCTGAGTTGGCTTGTTGGCTCTGTTTTTAGCAACTGTCTGCAGGTCATCAGTGCTCTAAATGGAACTGCTTAAAGTGATGTTATTTCAATTTGCCTCCAGGTCATGTAGAGTGTCTTCTGATGAATGTGCATATATAGTCATATAGGTCAACAAATGGGTCTGTATTGGGGGTTGCTTTTTGAAATGTTCTTAGCTTGTCTGGTCTGCCTTGGCATGACTGTAGGCTCAAAAGTTTATTGAATTTTTGACACTACGATTAACATTTAATTTCAGCTGTAGTCTGCTCTGCAAGATGTCTGTAAATAGTAGGGCATGTTGATGGGCCTGGCTTTAAAATGTTTATATAGTCAGTCAGTCTGTATGTCCATAACTCAATTTAGTTCTTTATATATCACTAAAGTTTCTCTGAATTGTCTGTTGATTTAGTTGAAGGTCTACGCATAGGTCAGAAGAGATTAGTTAGCTCTGTGATACTCTTAAACCCTCTTTCAAATTTATCCATGGAATTATCTATAACTGTCTATGCAAGCTTAAGGTCTACTAAGAGGCCAGTGTACGTTGTGTATAAGGTCATTAAGATGCCGCTTAGTCTCGTCAGGAGACTAGTCTGCAGTCTAGTACTGTCTGGAGCTAGTCTGGAATCGCTAAGTCTATGCTGGAGTCTAGTCTGGAGTTGGCTAAGGCCTAGTCTACAGTATTACCTCTCACAAACCTCGCCAGGCTTTTTAAAAACTGTCTCTCTCACACTTTTGCTGATGGTTCTTTTGAAGCATCATCTTACATCTACATCTAGATAGCTAGATATGGAACATTTAGTGTATATATACATGTTCCATATATACATTATTATAAGTACATATATTCTTTATTTAGCTTTTATAACAGTTTATCATTTCAATTTCTATAATTCTATAAAGCTGTATCTCACCACGCTTTCCATACAGCTAACTGTCATCTCATCATAAGCTGGCCCCACTCCCAATGGGTTCCCTGTTGGCATTACACTCTATCTAATTACATCTCTCAATATAATTGCCTCAATTTCATTTGTATCCGTACTTGTTGCCACATGTGATCGAACTGCTGCTGGAACATCTTCATTCATTCATGCAACTGTGTGGGACTCAAGGTCAATTCCAATATTTTTATGACTTTATTTATGGCTGGAATTGCTTTTGTTGGTTTAGTTCTGCTCACAGTCTGTCTCTGTCCAATCCTCTCTCTCTCTCTCTCTCTCTCTTTCTCGCTGTTGCTCTGGGGTGTGAGCCCGTCTCTTTCTCTGCCTCTATCTCTGGCTGTTGTCTGTGCTTTGCAATTTGAGTTGGCGTCTCTGCATTTGAGTCTCTGACTCATGGCAGGGCCCTTGCGAATCGATAAGCCGCTGACGTGAGACGCGCACAAAGTGATTTTGGCCAAGCGGCACAAAGAGCCAACAAGACAACAGGCAAAAAGAAAAAAAATACAAAAAAAAAAAAAAAAAAAGCCGAAGAAGAAGAAGAAGAATGGTAAAAATAACATAAACGGCGAAATGAAATAAAATGTAGCAAAACGTGAAGGGAAAATCAAATGTCAAATAGCAAAAAAAAACAAGTAAGAAAGCTCTAGTCGAGACTGCTCGACTACGAGATCCNACGGACAGACGGACAGACGGACAGACGGACAGACGGACAGACAGACAGACGGACAGGGCCAAATCAACTCAGCTCGTCACCCTGATCAAGAATATATATACTTTGTGGGGTCTGCCACGCCTCCTTCTGCCTGTTACATACATTTCAACAAAACCATTATACCCTGATTTCCCATTTTCAATGGGTTCAGGGTATAAAAAAAAAAACAAAAAAAAAAGACAAAATGTTGAGAAGATGACGTCGCTGAGCTGAGGCTGTCTCTGTGTCTGGGGTCGGTCGCTTGATGAAGGTTGACTTTGACTTTGTCGACGTCACGCAGAAAATAATATATAAAGGAAATTCCACTTGTCTGCCGAAGCGTAATGCATTGAACCTGCAGATCGTGAGTTGGCAAAGAGCTCAGCTTATGTTTAATTAGCCTTCGCCTGTCACTCGCGACACGAGACTTCACTTGCACCGGGCACTGTAAATACAACAAACAATTCCCTGTCGCACTTACTAAATGAAAATTTAACTACCAAACCCCAATGTCAAAATGTTATTGGGGGTACTTAAATACTGCTTAGAGGCATGAAAATAATTTGAAATAGATTAGTGCTTGAAATAGGGGTGGCTCGTAATGCCAAAGGATGCCTGGGCTCTCAGCTTTTCTCAAAATCTGTTTCAGAGACCTAAAAAAAAAAAAAAAAAATCATCGTGTCTCTATCTCCAGCAAAAAAAAAAAATAATAATAATAATAAAGTATTTAAGGCATTTTTAAGACTCACTCAGCCTCCGCCAAAAATCACAAAGAGCAGCAACTGATTAGGCCCATGTCTAAAAATAAAATTGACCACGAAACGTAACAATACACACAAACAAATAATTATAAATACACATAATAATATAAATTATTAATTTTAAAAATAAATTAAACCACATCTAAGGTCAGGCGTGCGAAATAATAATAGTAACAAAAAAATGCGCTTGATTTTTTTGGGGGAGAAAAAAAGAAAAATATTTGTGCCGCGATGATTCGATGGAATTTCACATGTTAAATAACAAAATAAAATAAACTTCATGGTAAATTTAATGATAAATTTTGAAGTAAACAATTTGTTTATAGTCGGCCTTAACAGCACTCCGTATTCATTTGTGTTGGCATTCAACGGCGTAATATTATCATTAGTCTTTAAATTAATTTAATCTTTGGTATTTTAATTATTACTCTTAGAGTTAATATAATATATAATAAATTATATAATATTGGGCTGAAGCAACTGCAGTCATATGCAAGATATCTGATATTGGCCATTGGAGTCCCTGAGAGAATCTCTAGGTTTTAGCTTAAGGGAAAGCAATTGTATAATATGTCTAAATATGAAATACCTCTGCATATAATTTAAGGATCTATTATAATTACTAATATTTCTTTTAATTTTACTAGTATTACTATTACCAATACTTAGTACTATTACTTTTATCACAAGATTAATGATTGCTATCATTAATTTGATGGCTAGCCTATTGATTGTTAATCGTTTAGCTCAATATTTAACAACATTTATTTGGCAAACGTGTGGCTGGGCCATTAAGACTGTGACTGTGGCAGCTACAGAAATTGGGGTTGCAACATCTACAGCTGCCCCTTCCCTCCTCATCGACGATACCTTAGCGAAAACCAACAATGACGACAATCGCTGAGACCCTTATCCAATCACATAACTTTGCACTTAACGGCAACTCTCAAATTAAACTGTCCAAATGTGAGGATGCTGAATGAAGAGGCAGGGGAGGAGATGGAGTGGAGAGGGCATATGACAGACCCTGCTAACTGCGATGCTATGCGATAATAACGATGGTCGCTTCCTTATACGATATATATCTCTCAACTTTGAAGCACACAGCTGCAATGGCTGCAGTTCGCAGTTATTAAAAACAAAGGGGCGTCCATTAGCGCAACAGAGATGCCATCAGTGTGAGGGAGAGAAAGAGAGAGGGGGCTGTGATGGGGAGAGAGGCGAGAAAGGCCGAGGGAGAGGGAGAAAGACACACACTATGTTTTAAATTAGCAATAACATAATTACCTGGCGCAAAATTGTTTTAAGGTATTTCTCGTCGCTTATTTATTTTTCTTCTGATGTTCACACATCGTTCGCCAAAAAGTGAGGCGATGAAGAAAAAACAAAAGAGTTGGGAGGCGAAAGAAAAAGAGGTTACCGTCTGATAATTACACGACAATACCCCCCATTAACACATTTTCAGACAGCGCTCGGCGCACAGCTTCGCGCCTCACTCTGAACCTCACACTGAGCACCGGGTGTAGAGCCTCAGCTGCAGCAACAGCAGCAGCAGCAGCGACAGCGACAGCGTTATATGAATAAAGTTCATTTGATTTAATGAACCGCCAAAAAAAAAAACATAAACAAAAAAAAAAAAAAAAGCATCATGTGACCGTGCTTCCCACACACATAGCCTACCTCTGCGAGCATAATACAGGCTACACTCAGAGAAATGCTTAAGAACCTAGCGAAATGATTAAGAATCTGAAAATTTTCATTAAGCAAAATATGAAAATTTATTAAAATTATTATTATTAATCTTAAGCAAAATACAAATTTTAAAAATTATTAAGAATATTTTTAAAGTTTAAAAATATGTCAACTCAACCATTATTTGTCTCTGTCTCTGAACTTTTCTCTACATGCCTTTTTTTTAATCTCAAAATCTAGCGAATTCTTCATATCAAATTGCTGATAAAAACGTGTCCAAATTTCGCACTGTGTAAGATTTCAACAGATTTTTTGAAATAGCTAACAAACTAACAAACTCCGCTCACAAATTTCATGTAGGCTACAACAGCAACAATTACAACAACAATAATAATGATAATAATAACAACCATAACAACAATAACAAACTAGCAACAACAATTGTAAGTCTAACTCTTTTTGTTTGCAGATTTTGGAGTTGAGCAATGAGGATCCACAACAACAACAACAACAACAACAGCCACACCAAATGCGTCTGCACAATGAGGCCAACAATCCGCTGACCGCTCAGCGTGGCAGCAACAGCGGCAGCAGCGCCAATGCCGCCTGGCTCCAGAAATTAGGTGCTATGGGCGCACTCGATACGGACGCCGGCTATGGGCGCTACTAAAGATGAAACTCCAAAATCCCAACCAACCATGACGACCCCCCATAAAATTATAGAAAAACGAAACTAGGAATGCAAACGAAAAACATATTTGAAATGCCTAAAGCCTATTTTAATTACACAAATCTGAGATAACTAGTTCCAAAATTACACAGATTACAAATTGAGCTTTACATCTTAACTACTTGAACTCAAAATTCATATGAGTCGAAAAACCTTATTTGAAACTTTTTTTTATAAATCAGAGAACAAATTCTTAAATTGAAAGAATCGAATTCAAATTGTTATAGAAACTGCTCATTTAAAATGCGAAAATTGTTGTAAATTAGAAATAAGTCAGAGAAAAATAGTTCCGAAATAGATCATATTTTAAAAGTAAAGAACCTCGAAAGAGAGCAATACAGAATTTCAAAATATTCAATTTTTTAATATATAGTTCCAAATGTGAATTATATTTAATGCATAAGAGAGGACTAGTTCTGTATCTGAACAAAATTAAAAAGTACCATCGAAACTCAATTGAAATGCTAAGTACTTTGAAATTGTTAACTTACCAAAAGTTGACTTCTTAAACAAATTACAACTTTTCATGATTAGGAAGCAAAACTCATTTATATTTAAAAAAAAAAAATTATTTGCAATCAATACATTCAAATTATTAGCTTACTATAAAACTAAGCTATAAAGAAACTAAATTCCAAAAGTTCATTTAAACTGACAAAATCTTTTTTGTTTTAGCAAGGGGAATAGATAGTTCCACATTAATTTATTACCAGTTCCCATTAGAATCGTTCTTAAGGAACTCTTAAAAGCTCTAAACTGGTTCGACAATATATCAAGAATGGACTTTACTCAATGTAAAGCTCAATGTAAAGCAAACAATTTTATAAGTCAATTCTAACTAACAAAACTAACAAACTAATCAAATTTGAGATGGATTTAATGAGTTAGGGCATTTCAAATATTTTTTGTTTTGCTTTTTGCATTCCGTAAGCAAACACTCAATGGTTTTAAATACTGAACTCAAAAGAACTTTAACAGTTCCTATATAAGAACAATAATTTTTAAACATTTACGACTAGACAAAAAGCAACAAGAAAAAATCTAAAAAAAATATATGTACTATAAATATATATATACATAAAATGAGTTAACTTGTAATCAAAAATTATACCATATATATGTATATTATACTTTATATACACATAGATATTTCTGTATACATATGTAGTTCCTTAAACTTTGTTTTGTGGCTGCCAGATTCTGTTGCATTGTTAGTTGAAAGAAGAAGAGTCAATTGTAAATATGTAATACCCGTCCCTGAAAGCATAAACCTGCGTGTTTTTCTTCTTATTCATACATTTTACATTGTTTTAATGGGCCTCAAGGCTGGGCAAATAAATATAAATTATGAGCATATTACAAGCGAGTGCCACAAGTTTAAATCTCTGCTGCTTACATTTCTGTGCTCGACTCTGGCCTCCAAGTTGAATTTTATGGCGCCATATACCCTATATTATATATATATGAATTTATATATATATATATATATGTGTGTGGGCAATGCAGCTCGGTTTATATAATTGTTACCTTTAAACGTATATTACCTTATGATCAAAAACAATAAAAGAAATCATTTTCAATGCAAGGCCTCTGCACATTTATTTTTCATTTTCAGTTATTGTTAATTAGATCTACTGATAGAGCGTTGCATCAGACAGAAGCTGGAAAAACGCTCGCTTATGCAATACAACACACGCACTCCCGATTTGTATCTAATAGTTACAGATACAAATAGTTTTACTGCCGGACAAATTGAAAAACGTGCGAGAGTGTGGGGAGTGCTCGACTAGCAGATACTGTGAACGACCCCATAACGAGACATACGCATACATTCGCGCTTACATGGACATCACACATATAAACACTGATCTCAGAGATCCATACACAAAATTAGGCATTATTTTTCATTTTTTGAAGCCTTCAAGAAAGGATTTAGAAATCGATATTTATCGGTAACTAAAATACGAGCTATACAGAAACAAATTTAAATATTACATTGGCCACTGCATATGGGAATACATATTTAAAAGCTAAGGTCTTTAACTTCTTTACTTTACGAGATACGACGGAGAGGTAAATTTTCAAATGGATGGAAATTCATGGACATAGCTCCATTGAGATATTCTTGATCAATGAGTGTACTGCCTTTACATAGCCTTCAGCCGCACCTCTTTCTGCTACTTGCATTTCTTCACAAGTCGAGTACACCCCATTTACTTATCTCTAAATGTGTTTAGGGTATTGGAAAAAAAAATGTAAAAAGAAAAAAACGGAATTTACTTTCTTTGTGCCCCGTTCAAGTGCAACACTTGACAAATTAAAAACTAACAAGTGGCGATTGCCAGACCCAGTTAACCCAGAGCCGAGCCCATCAGATACAGATACAGCTGAAGATACAGCTAAAAGATACAGATACTTTGCCTTTCTGTGCCAGCGTTGCGTCTGCACAAGTGCCCACGCCAAGTGAGCCAAAGTTCCGTTGCCTGTCGTCGACATTTCTGTTTTGTAAACGCATTTTAATTGCTTTTCGCTGCTTTTTATGTAAATACAATATTATTTAAATGGTCTTTGACTTCATTCATTTCGAGCTATATATAAATACATACACGTATATCTCTATATATACATATTTTTCTGTTACATAAAGTCACAAAAAGATACTTAATAATAATTAGTATGTGTGCATGGCTGAGGTGTCGATGGAGATGATGCCATGCCGCCGCATGGCTCTGCAATGGTGAAAGCAGAAAGATTTCAGATGAAATATGATTTTGCCAGCTGCTCTCACAGCTCAGAATCATGGGGCTTGACATGCTATAAACATCTGTCACGGTCTGCTCTTGAAGAGAGCTATTATGAAAGTGGTTTGAAAATTATGTAAAAGAACTAATTAAAGTCAGGTATAATTGAGTTGAGAAAGCGATATGCATAGATGAAGATGTAGAATTGTCAGTATTGATTTTGATTTTATCATAAATATGACAATAAAGGCATAGATTATACGTATTACCTTGTGTCTCTTAATCTTATTTTCTCGTTCTCTAAGCATTACTATATTTCTATGTCTCCCTGAGCCTTTTACTGTCTCTTCCTTTCGGTTCCTTCCTTTTGGACCTTGTTGTCTTGTTGTTGTCTATCCCTCTCTTTTCTCTATCAATCATTATCTCCGTTTCATTCACCATTTATCCTAGCAGACAAAACATTTTGTATTTCTAGTCATTTGTCCCCTTCACTCACTATTCATCTCACTTATCTTCCCATCTTATCCACTCGTGTTTACTTATTGTAAACATTCAATTAACATTTGCTCTTATCTTATGTATTTACAACATCGTTTACACCGAATCATATATCTATATAGACAGAATTTCCATTTATAAATTCGACTATCCATTAATTTCAGTATCAACGTTGTTGCTTAATCGATGTTGATTTTTATTTTTCCTTTTTCTTTTGAAGCCTGCACCTGTTTTGGACACCCAGCAGCAATCGTTGCAATGAAGATGAAAATGATAATGATGATGATGATGAGAGATGGGAGACGGGACACGGGAGCTGGCAGATGAGAGATGAGCTGAGCTGAGCTGGAAATTGAGGAAATGCGATGCGCTGCGATGCGATGTGCTGCGAGCCTCAAAATGAACAGCAAAATCAACAGGCGAAAAGTAACAACAACAAAAAAGTAGAAGCAGATGGAAAGGCGAAGCACTTGCCATTTGGCTAACGGCATTATAAATGATGCCGCCGTGAAAAAGTGACAGTTAGCGCACAGTTACAGTTGCAGCTACATGGCCCATGCTCCATGCCACATGCCATATGCCCCAAGCCTCGTTACTAACCAAGCTCTGCAGGCAGCGAGCGATTCTCCAAAAATCGAATTCCGGCAGCCAAAATTTCCACAAAAACAAAAACCCAAAACAAACTCTCATACAGGAGTGTTTGGTATTCGAACTACACTGTCATTTATTGATTATGCGCATCTCAATTTGAGGCAACACCTCGAGCGGGAACGGGAGCGGTAACTGGAGTCGGAGTCCCCCGATCGAGATTGCATGATGATCGTGACAGGGGCAAAAATAAAAGAAAAGTCACCAATAACGAAACATGGCTAATCATATTTTTCGTTCATTTTAATAGGTAGTACGACTGCAAATAATGTCATTGCCGAAATTATTGAAAGAGCCAAAGGAAAGGAGAAGAGCAAAAATAAAATAAAATATATATATTATGTATATAAATAAATGAAAGAAAATCATAGACAACTGCTATTGCATTATGGCCAAAAATGGAAATGAAGATGGAGCTGGGCGATGGTAGAGCTAAAGCCAAAGCTAACTGATCGTAACCCAACAAGACCGTGAAGCTCATAATGAGCATTGCACAAGACAGAGAGAGAGAGAGAGAGAGTGAGAGAGGGAGGGAATGGGAGTAAGCGAGAGAGAGAGAGAGAGTGTGTTTCTTTGTGAGACATGAAGAAATGTGAAATAAGACCAAGCCACAGTCCAGTTCCAGTTCCAGTTCCAGTTGACTCCAGATCGGAGACAAAGCTTCTCCTCCTCCTCCCCCACGCCTCTTACCCACATTTCGCAGCGTATGCATTGAAATTGAAAGTGAATCGTGCCACACGATCCGAACAGCCAGACGATGATGCGATCCTCCAGACCGAACAAAATCATCAAAACAACAATATTGTAACAAACGCAAACAAGCGAAAACAACACACAAACCTAAAACAAAGAAACCACTAAAACAATATAAAACCAAGAAGTAACGCGTAAAATTGCTGTAACCAGCGTGCAGAATTTTTAATACACTATCAATTTATTTGTTTCTTTTTGGGGAGCTTGGAGAAGGAGATGCGCTTTGTATTGTATATAATTTGGCGATTGAATTTCCTAAGTTCTTATATTAACCATAAAGTTACCGATTTAAGCTATATCACTACTCCATTTCTCGAACAAGTATAACATAAAATTTATGTTATACTGAATAGTTTTATTGACATACTGTTCTTAATTCTTATAGAATTTTGATATATTATATATAACGAATTTTAGTGGTTAACTATATCCATATATGATTCATATACTCTAACGCCTCGATATATGACACTATTTCAATATGACCTAGTAAACGTTCATATAATGATATTAACATTTTGTAAAGTATTTGTCATACTCTATGCGCCCTTCTCAATATATTCCAAAGATATCGTTACTTTCTCAGCGGATCTCATTTTTTATAAGCTACTACGTGTACTACCTATTCTGCCCAATATATACTACGTTATGCCTCTCTCTATATATATACAAGCTACTCCGCATATCCTTCTTTATATATCCCATTCTATATAGGCTAATTTATACATACTTCTGAAGATATCCTTTTCCCTATTCCCTTCTCAATATATTTCATTTCATAAACGCTTCACCACAAGTCTTTCTTTATATATCCCAATTTGTAAGCCCAATTCTCTTGGTCAATGTATCCTCTCGGTTAGATATTCTTCTCTATATACGCTCCTTTATATAAACTACATAATATAGATTCGAATTTACATACATATATCGTACTAATACTCAAAATCAAAACTATCAAAATTTGTAATTCTATAAAATCGTATTTCATTCATACGATATATGTATATCAATGACCTCAGCTTTACACAAATGCTTTACGTAAGTCCAAAATAATCTTGATGAAAATTTGACTTCAAATTCGGTACACATATCAAATTCCCTGAACTTCTTTTCTTTTATTTCAGTGCAACGAAATTTCAGTTTAAAGTTCGATTTATGTTGTAAACAAAAAAAATAAATTGAAATTGCTTTTAGGTAAAAATAAAATTGGAGTTCCGGGATCGAATCGGTTGCGCTTAAACTCGATTTGACTTGCTTAACAGCAGCTGGGAATTTTTATTTATTAAGTGAATTTCGTATAATGTTTGTTACTATATATTAATATATTGCTTTATAACTTTTTTTATATATTATATTAAACGGTTGTGGTATTGCTTATAATTTTAAAAAATGTATTATACATTTGTGTTTTAAAATTTATTATTTTCATTTCAATTTTTAACTGTTATTAACACTTCGATATAATGTTTATAAATATATATAAAATCATTACAATATATAAACCGAAACATTAAATCAATTGTATATATGTAAGTAGTATAATGCATCTGCTCAGATAGCTATCAAATTCCCTCTTAAAATCTTACCAATCAACAAGAATTTGCGTACCTGCTGACCCAGTTACCCGTACCTATTCTCGAACCTATCAAATCACTTGAGCTTATCCAAGCAGCTTAAACACATGCTGAGGATTGAGGAGCTAGTTTTAACTACTTGAGTATGTGTTAACTTTTAGGAGGGTATTAAATCAGTTAAAATTAAAAAGGAAAACCGCAAAAGACTAAGAAACGGTCATCGAAGCGCTGCTGCTGCCAGCATCGCTGCTGTCGCCAACGTCAGCTCCAGCGCCGCAGTCGCAGTCGCAGTCGCAGCTAGGAGCGGCTGCAGAGACAGCTTTGGCTTTGGCCTAAGCTACGGTCTACCCCTAGGCCCAGATGACTTGCCAGCTGCTGCGCTGCTTTAAGCCGTGTTTTGTTGCTGTTGTTGTTGTTTTTGTCTTTTTGCTTTTGTTTGTTTTTTGTTGTTTTGTTGTTTTGGCTGCGGCTGCTGTTGCTGCTGCTGCTGCTGTTGCTCTTGTGGTACTTGTTGTTGTTATTGCCGCCGTTTTATACATTTCAATTTCTTCATGGTTATGCGCTCTTTGCCAACTGGTGCGACTGCTGCCGCAGCTGGCGTCGCTGCTCGCGTCGCCGCCGACTTCTGCTGAATTTTTACTTAATTTTTATTTCTCGCCAATGAGCGGCACTATAAAAGCAACTGCAACAATCGTTGTGGCATGCAGTCAGTGTAAGAGGTTCCGCGTCGCACAAGCTCCAGCGAATCAAACCAAGTTTCTCTCTCTCAAAAAATAAATTCATAATTGTAACGGATTTTAACCGAAACTTGAATCGTTCAGTTTTTACAAGCATTATGCAGTCCAGTTTTGTGGTATGCTCAAGTGGATGCCGCTATTTGTGTGTGTGTGTTGCTGTGTGATATACCCTATTGAAATAGAGTTTAGAAGGGTAAAAGATGGCCAAGCCCATAAAGTATAGAGAAACTCGTTCAGGACGAAGAGCTAAAACGATCCATCCATATTCGGTTCTTCGTCTATTTGTCTGATCTTGGTAACCACGAAAGTTCGAGATTTCTTCGAATATATATTTTCGTATATCAAACGTAGGACGTTTTATTCGGTTTCTTTCAATATTTGCGCGCAGTTTTATAAAAATAATAATATTTTTAATACGCCTTTTCAAGCATAGCTTCGATAGAAAGAGCTATCGGATTTGGCTTATATCATTACATATAACTAGCAGAATATTTTTGGATTTCTGGATAACTCTCACCATGAAATTTTAAAATAAGTCAAAGCTTAGATTTTTATACATCCTAAATCAAGGTCATATCAGTTGGGGTATATCTTAGTCGGCTAATTTCGACTAGAGTACATACATAACTGTTGCTTATGGTATTTTTCTGCTTTTTCTACTTTTTAGTTAGCGATTGTCTTGGCCGGCGTAGCGCTGGCTGCGGCTCGTCCAGAGCCACCGCGTGATACGTACAGCGCCCCACCATCGAGCAGCTATCAGCCGAGCGGACCCAGCGGCGGCTACGGTGCACCTGCACCACAATATGGACCACCACAGCAGCCGCCAGTGGTGCACAAGCATGTCTATGTCCATGTGCCACCACCAGAGCCAGAGTACCAGGCCCCCAGGTGAGTTTCTCAAACTTATATTAAGCTAAGAAAAAAGTAATAATTTGAGTTCAAATAGATCAGTTTCTGATTTGTATCAGAGTAACAAAAATTATATAAACGAAACTAGGTATGATCCTTAGAAGGTTATTATCTATATATATATCATTATTTAAAAGAACTAGTTCTATTCCATAAGTACCATACTGGTTCGCAATTGAAATAGAACTCTCATAAAAATAGTTGAGTAGAGCTCAAATAAAAGCAGAGGAACAGATGTTCTGGAAATGGCCTAGATAATATCATCATCAATTATATTTTTCATTCTCTAACAGAGCACGTTTAAATAGTTTTAAAAGTATTTAAATGCTATTTTCAATACTCAATATTTTTTCCACTTTAATAAAATCCTCTGATATTTATTTGTATAAACATAAAATGCCACAAAATCCATACCAAATTATCTATTCGTCAAGTTACTTAAGTTACGTTTTAATTAAAGAATTTTGCTATAAAAAGACTTTGGACACTACATTTTGGAAAACGTTCAAATACGTTTCCCCTACTTTAAACCCTCTTAATATTTGCAGTTACTCAACATTCATTAATTTCAGTATCTTGATAATGTACTCCTAGAGATCTCTTGTTTAACTCCACTTTGAACCATGTTTAGGCATATCTTCAATCAAATTATGTTTACAACAGTTTCTTTCTTGGTCCAAATTGTGCAAACATAATTTGCCATCTGATTGCAGCGTGAGATATATATTCCCACATTAAGGGAGCTTACGAACCATCTGGTTTGTTTGCCTGATGTCCCATTACAACTAATTGCAAAATGAATTGTCGTGTGTAGCTCCAGATATGACTATATCTATATGAGGTATCTGGGTAATGCCCCACAATTATGAAAATTCTCCCACAATTCATGGACTCTATGAGTGCTTGAGTACTTTGTTTAATATCTGACGCGGCAGCTGCGAGACAACTGTTGCGAAAAACTATGAGCGTTAATCATCTAATTCAGCTCAGGGCTACAAACTGTTTAGTTTTTGTTTTCGACTTTTTTTTGCATTATCATTTTTGTGAAGGGAGTAACAAGACTTTTTTGCTTCTATACTGAAAACTTATTTAATCGAGGAACCCCTCAAACGGGCAACAATTTAAGCTAAGCTTATCTATCTACCTCTCACTCTCTCTCTATCTCGCTCTCTTTCACTTTTTGTCACTGTAGTCAGAAAGCAATGTTAATTGCCAACTGGAAAAGATATGGTGCTGAAGACAACTAAAGCGTGACTAAGATGTTACCTAAGCTACACATATATTTTTAACTTTACGTAGCTAATTATTCCATACGGAAAGGGAACTGGAAAGAGAGAGAGAGGGACAGAGTGAGAAGGGGAGAGAACGAGTGCAATTACCATAGCGTTAATATAGAAGACTGCATATAATAGTTTATATAAGAGTTGAATTTCTAGTGGGCTGCAAATTGTGACAGTTTTCTTCTTCTCTTTTTTTTTTTTTTTTTGGCAACTAATTATTGCATACGAAAAGGAGAGTGAGTGCAATTACCATAGAGTGTGTATAAGAGTGGGCGTATAAGTGTTTATATAAGTCTTCAGGTGAACTGATAATGAGACAGTTTCGAAGTAACTGAGCCAGCTTGTTATTACTGCATACACATAGGCAGACAGAGAGAGGAAGAGAGAGAGAGTGTGTGTGTCTAAAATTACTATGGAGTGCTTAAAGAGTGTGAATATCAGACTTTATATAAGAGTCCAATTGCTAGTGGGCGGCGTATTGTCATAGTTCCTAAGCTCGTTTATTACTATTGCATATGCAAAGGGAGTCTGAAGAAGAGAGCATGCAATTATTATAATATGTGCATGTGATTTTATATAAGAGTTTATATATGAACTAGTGGTGATAATTTCGTTTCATCCAAATGATCGGCAAACTATGCGACGACTTCTCTGAAACCTTTCCTTGACTTCATCCGCTTTTTCCCATAGGAAACCTGTGTATGTGCCACCACCACAGAAGCACTACAAGATTGTGTTCATCAAGGCGCCATCACCACCAGCACCAACTGCTCCAATCATTCCACAATTCCCCCAGAACGAAGAGAAGACTTTGGTCTATGTGCTAGTCAAGAAGCCAGAGGAGCAGCCAGATATTGTTATCCCAACACCGGCGCCAACGCAGCCCAGCAAACCCGAAGTCTACTTCATTCGCTACAAAACCCAAAAGGAGGAGACCGGACCCTACCCGAATGCCATTGCACCACCTTCGGAATATGGTGCACCCGCTGGCCCTCCAGCACCATCGGCGCCCAGCAGCTCCTATGGAGCACCTTCCCATTAAACGAACCAACTCTGCCATCTCTGGCCACCCTTCCTCCCCCTCCCCACTTCGAGCTAAACTTTACTGATTTTTTACTCATTTTTTTATTCATAACGAAAAAAAGAACAAAAAAAAATCATTTTGACGTGTGACAAAATTTACGAATTATAATTTTATATATGTATAGAATATGCCCCGATCCCTATCATTATTATTGTTGTTTCTTATGTAATTTTTTACCTCTAAACATTCTCCGCATAGGCTGTTTGTTTCAAATTGTTTTTGCCTAATCTTAAGTATCTAGTTCTTAAGCACATGCGTTATATATACGATTATCATTTATACATATATATATTGACCATATATATATCAATATACTTGATATGCATTTCAACTAGGCAAATATTAACTACGAATATTTCAGTAAATTGTTGTTGTTGAACGCGAACGAAGAAGACAATGAAAAAGCTACAAAAAAAAATAATAATAAAATGAATGATACTCAAAACATTATTATTGTATATGTATAAAAACAATGGATCAAGAAAAATAAAAGTTATCTGAACTTACTATCTGACATGCAATGCAGTTTTTCACTTAAATATTCTTTTATTAAAAAATAAATAAATAATCATCGTATAAAATACTAAAATCCGACTAATCGGGAATTAAAAACATTTTTCATAAATACTTTTAAACTACAATATTACAATAATTTGAATTTCAAACTGTGGCCTAATATTTGCGTATGAGAGCGTTGCCATACTATGCAAATAATAACAGAAATTTTGAAGCATAGCACTGCCAACAGCTAACAGCGAAAAAAAAATTTAGCTTTCCAAATAAGCGCCTCAGGCTATACCCAAAATCAAAAGATAATTATATTAGAATTCGCCTTAGTTAGGCATTAAATTTAAATTAAATTTATTTCATTCTCAGTTATTTTACTGCCACTCTAACGGTAAACATTTGCCTCACATAGTTGAGAGCTCACTTCAGCTTTGCAATTTTAATTGAGACATTGTCAGGACACTTTCAACTGCTTTCAAACTGTTCTCCCCCTTCTATGTGCATATGCACATGTATCCTGTTCAAAGTCCATCCAAATCCCCGCTATAGATGCTTTTAAATACACAGACACACACACACATACATACACTCACTCAACGGCTTCTACTCGGCCTGTCAAATGTAAGCGAACTTAAAACACATCGTTTGCATTTTGGGCTGCCTGCCTCGGCCCCTCCCCCTCCTCACCGCCCCCTCACCCAAGCCCTCGCCTACTGCAAACACTTAAGTGACGCTTCAGCTCCTCAACTATCAGCGTGAGTGTCTGTGTGCGTGCTTTTTGCTCCTCTTTTGTTGTTTTTCCTTAAATGTGTATGAGTGTGTGTGTGTGTAACTTTTTTTTTACAATATAAACATCATTTGCGTTGTTCCTTTTGTTTGAAGCCTCGCTGATTTTGTTTACCTGTGACTGCCGCCTGCCTAGCAGGCTGCCTTGTTGGCTGGCTGGCTGCCTGCCTTCCTGCTAACGGCACTTGCTCAAGAGAGCACGCCAGCCACTCTCTTAACACAAAAGCGAAAGTCGTACAACCCCCACACAAAGGTGTAAAGCGTTGCCAGCTGCAAGCAGTTAGACAACGCTCTCTCTTCTACTGTCGCGCAAGCGTCGCGTGAGGCGGCTAGCATAAAGAGCGGCCAGAGCAGAGCTGAGCACTTGCCAAGCATTTGGTAGCGCCGTCCTGTGTTAGTTGCGATTGTAATGCCAACGCAAACGGAACGCGGCGGGCGTTCGCGTCGCGAGTTGTGTGCGTGTGTATGTGTTCGTAAAATGAAAATGTGTTTTTTTCGTTAGAGCCGGAGCAGCTAAAGAATCGTAGCTAAAATAAATCATGTATATCAAAATCGAAGAAGCCAAAGCGTTGCAGCCAAAGATGAAATCAACAACCAGAAATTGCCAGTCATAAAAAAAGGGTTTGTGCACGCTCCATGTATATGTGTGTATGAGCACTAGATGTGTGTGGCTGTCGCTGTGTGTGAGAGTGTGTGCGTGTGCTTGGTGTTGTGCTAATATTGTTGTCCATACAATGCCATGGCATTCTATATACCCCCTCTCCTCTCCCTCTCGCACTACTCCACTGGTTTGTTGTTGTTGTTGTTGTTGCGTACAATTAGAAGGCATTGCCAATCGATTTGTGTGAAAAGCCAAAAGCTCAAAAGGTGGAACGCCTCAAAGAAGTTCGCTGTTGCAGGTGCGCGACATCTGAAAAATGAAGTTGAGCCAAACGTCGGCGTCAACGTCAACGTCAACGTTAACGTTGACGTTCGAGTTGCCAGTCATTCACAATAGAAACGTGCCATCAAAATAAGAAAGAAAGCAGAAAAAAGCAACAGAAAAAGGAAGAAAAGAAACAATATTAATGAAAAGATGTTGCAAAAAATGTCACGTTCCTTATTTGAATTCGCATCATCATGTTAATGAAGGTGCTCCCCTAGAACCCTAAAGGCAAGCGTCTGCAATGCTTAAAGTTGAGCTCTTCAATTTATAACAAAGAATGTATATACATTAAGATATCAATGGGGAAACTTGATCGAAAACTGAATTGCAAACTTTTCAACGAAATACGGAATGGTTCAAGAAATTCTTATTTGAATTAATTTGAATAAACATAGTCCTGAAACTTTATTTATATTCTCTTAGCCAACATATAGTAAGGAATGCCTAGAGCTCTACGTTTAGAATTCCTAACTTAACTTAAAGTTTTTTTTTTTAATCTTTCTAAAATCTATAGTCGCATATAAAATATAAATAATAGGTAGTGATAACATTATCTATTATTAATTTCAAAAATAAGTTCAACTTAAATAAACTCAAAAATAAAATAATCAAATTAAAAACTTATTCATTTAAAAAAATTAAGAAATTTAAATACCATATTCATAGCAAAATGGAGAAAAATCTTCAAAATTAAAAAATTCTGAACTTAAAAAAAAAACACAAAAAACAAAAATGTTAAAAAATATATTTAAAAAAAGTTAATAGCAATTATTAAAGATATAATGTAATAAAAAATAAAAAACAATAAAAGTGTTCTCAAAAATACTTCCTAATAGTAAAATAAACTGCATACCAAAAAGTTACTTAAAAAGTGGTAAACATAAACCCCTATAAACCGAACTTAAGTGAATTTTATAAACTAAGCCTCAAATGAATAAAAAATGCAAAAATAATAACATAATAAAAACAAGTAAGAAAGCTCTAGTCGAGACTGCTCGACTACGAGATCCCCTGAACCCTTGGAGTTTTAGCCTTTTCAATAATTTTTCGCGTCTTTCACACGCACGTACGCACACACAGGCATACATACACACACACGCATACAGACACACATACACACACACACGCATACACACACAAACGCATACACACACACACATACACACACACATACACAAACACATACACACACANTATGCATGTAATTGCCAAAGCACAAGTCTCTAGTATTTGAAATACGCTTTTTACAAAAGTGAGGGTGAGGGGGTGAATTTAAGGGTGGGGGGTAAATTTTAACAAAAACCGAAATTGTATAAATTGCATATAAGCATACATTAAAAATTTGGAGACTCTAGCAATAAAGGTGTAGAAGATATAATTTTATAACTGGTTTTCGATAAGGTTTTTTATCGATAAAAAAAGATCGGGATGAGTTATCGAATTTTAATGATAAACTTGATATGCGCGCTGTAATTACGGACATTTTAAAAAAAATTTGAAGTCTCTAGCTCTTATATCTTCTGAAATCGACGCGTTCATACATACGGACAGACGGACAGACGGACAGACGGACAGACAGGCGGACAGGGCCAAATCAACTCAGCTCGTCATCCTGATCAAGAATATATATACTTTGTGGGGTCTGCCACGCCTCCTTCTCCCTGTTACATACATTTCAACAAAACCATTATACCCTGATTTCCCATTGAAAATGGGTTCAGGGTATAAAAAATATTACTTATAATAAAAAAAGGCAACAATCTAAGCAACAGTCTAAGCACCCGAAAGCCTACAAAAAAATAGAAGCTCTTCACTTTTTGGTAAAATTACGAGCGCCCAGAACATAAACTTAAGAGTCAAATATAAGACGAGCACTTGCTGCACGTATAACTGATATAATTGTAAATAAACATAAAATAAACAAAAGAGTCCTTACTGAAAACTGCTTTCTGCAAGAGAAATTTCAGTGAAATAAAAACCAAAGTACCGCAAATAGATAAAATATATATATACATCTATGCTTGGACGATGCTACAAGTGAATAAAAACACTCAAACCCTCCAAAAAATAAAAACAAAATTCAGTGAATCATAAGAGTGGGAGAGAGACAGAGAGATTGAGTCGATTCGAGTTGAGTTGTCTGTGAAGCATATGCCCAATAAGCAGATGCCCCATAACCATAAAGCGAAAGTGTTATGGCCATTACCATAGGACGGCAGGACCTCGTCCTAAGTCACAGTTGTCCCTTCTTGGCAGAAATCACAATTTATGACATTACACATAAAATCTGCACACAATGTAGCGAAAGGAGAAATTCTTGGCAAAACTTTTACAGCACACTGTTGGATCCTTATTAACTAGTGGTTGCTACATGTACCTCTTCTTCTTCTTCTTGCATTCTTTCCTGCCCCATGTCTGGCAAATACAGAAGTGCTTCCAACAAGTAAGACACACACATTCACACGGACATTAAGAGTATGGAAACGGAGTTTTGTGGCCGTGGAGCAATGAGCACCAGCCAAACGCCGCGCAATGGCGGCTTCTGTGGTGCACTACAGCGTGCACCGCCAGCGATGCCGCCGGCTCTGCAACGCCGTCTCTCCAGTCGGGAATGCTATGGCGTTGGCAAAGTCAAAGTCATGTTACGCGTCGCCGACAAAGCGGACAGCGGCGCCGACAGCAGCAGCTGCCTTGAGTCTGGCTGCTTTATGGCGCTCGACAAGAAGAAGCGACAGGTGACACTAACGGATCCGAAGACCGTCTCGGCACCGCAGGCTCAGGAGCGAGCGCCAATGGTTGCGGCACCTAAAATGTTTGCCTTCGATAATCTATTCACAGCAGAGGATAAACAGGTGAGTGGACGTTAGAGGATAGATGG